GATGGGGCAGAGAAAGAGGCGAAACGAAGGTGAAGAAACGCGCATTGGGACTGTCGGGTAAAGCCGCGCTGGAGGAGGGGGGCCGAGGTGCTGGAGGGGGAACAGACGAAAGAAAATCACGCGTGGTTCGTCATAAGAGGAATTCCTTTGGCGATACTGGAACCTCTCTCTCTCCCGCCCGCTCTCCCGCCGCCCTCGTCTTCTTCTTCTTCTTCTTTTCTACTCGCTCGTCCCTCCCTCCCCCGTCCCTTCTGGCCCAGAGACCCCCGTGCTTTTTTACTGGTTTATGGGATTTTTTTCACGCGGACCGCCGAGTCGTACATCAGTGAGGGCTGACTGTGAGTCGTCTCGCCTTCTTTCTTCCACCAACGCGCTCGGACTCTCGTGCGCTCCGGCGAGAAAGAAATGGGAGAGAGAAGGAGATAGAGAGAGAAAGAAAGAGAGAGAAAGAGAGAGAGCAAAGGGAAAGAGGGAGGAACAATAAAAAAGAGCAAATGCCAGCCGCCATAAAAACAACTGAAAGTATTAAAAACTTTAGGCCTTTTACTGCCGAGCTGCCTCGGAGGAGCGCGGTCGGATATATGCGCGACGAGCCGAGACGATGACGACGACGACCACGTCGCATCGGGATATTCCCGAGCACTTTGCGCGATACTCGCGCGATTATACGTGTAAAGTTTAACATTAAGCGCGACGGTAATGTAACGATCAATGTTGAATTAAATCAATTACCCGTTACCGTACCATTTAGCCGCCGTAAAACGCGTCGTGAATTTACGTCTTTTTGCGTAGATCGTAATTACAGTGAGAGAGAGAGAGAGAGATAGAGAAAGAGAGAGGGAAATGAAGAAGACGAAGTATCGTAGATATTTATATTAAATACAAGAAAAACCCCTTGATTGAAGTACTTTCTACGCCGATACCATCGTAATTAATACCGCGCGTATTTGCATCGCGAAGGACAAAAAGAGCCACGTGCGAATGAAGTTGAATACATTACTCGCGTGCGAGTGTGAGTGTCATTAAAAGCACGAAGATTATATCGTATCCTACGTTTTCATCGGCGTATCACACGTCGACGTCTTCGGGTTTCGCTGTCGCGCCACTGCGGTATGGTCTTAATTAACATCGTATATATATTAATATCAGATAAACGGGGAGATAAAAATCCACGCGCAATTAAATACGAGCGTCCGAAATTCGGCGGCGCTACTCGCGCGGCCGTTGTACTTAACGGCGATGACTTAAGATTTCGCACGTAATTAACGAAATTAACATGCAATTATATCGAGGATGATAGATTGAACCGGTGAAAAATGTAACGACCCGCGTGTGGAAATCGTGCCTCGGGTTCTCGAGGGAAGAAGGGCCACTGTAAACAAAAGCAGATGAGGATCTCGCCGGCGAGCCGCGCGGCGGACCGTGGAAGAAAAAGAAAGGCCTCCGAGAGGAGGAGGAGGGAGAGGAGGAGGAGGAGGAGGCGGAGGACGGCCGGCCCTCGTAAAATTATCGTACTTTAATAAAACGTGTCGTGCAAAACGCGAGGATAACGAGAAAATATAGGGTTCGAAAGACTCGTGAAATTTATAGAGCGATCGCCGCGCCGGAGGAGTCTCGCTTTTTGGAGTCGCGCCGTTCGGCTCGGCCTCGTTGGCCCGTTCTTCGCCACTGAGCCACAATAAGATCCGGAATAAATCAGCCGAATGTCCGCCATCCAAGTCCGAGCTCTCGGTAGCTTAACGGACAAAAATTCGCCGTGTCGCAAGGGAACCTCCAGCGAGCCCGCGGGAGCGGCCAGGGGAGGGAAAGTCGCGCTCCGCGAACTCGACAAAGTTCGAACACGGCAACAGGTGTCCCCTCTGGAATATGCGTTGCGGTCCAAGCCGCAGTCAACCGCAGAAGGATATTAGGGAAAGCCGTTTGGTGAGAAAATAAACGAGAATTTTTGATATCGATCTCTCTCCCTCTCTCTCTCTCTCTCTCTACGAAGTTCTCTCGGGTGAAATAAAATATACGTTAAGTTGTTCGGTAGGTTTCCTTAAATCTCTCCAACTGCACACGCATTGTGCCGATTAGGACGTCCGGATAATTCGCTATGAGAAATGACTACCATCTTGGGCTGAGGAATAGATAACTGTACGCTCGCGGTGGTTCGCGCTCGGAACTACGTACAACTCGTGCGAGCAATTTTCTGTAATCGAAAACAAATTAAAGCGCGTTCCCTTCGATCCCCCCCCACNCCCCCCCCCCCCCCCCCCCCCTTGCGACGCAACGTTTCGTTTATCCAGACGCGACAGATGCGAGCTCAGCCGTTCTCTTGCGCAAGCGAGAGCAAAGCGGCCGCTGTGACGCTTCTTTTTTCAACGCGAGGCGAAATCTCTCTCAGTCCAAACAGCGGTTAATTTAGCAAATCCGACGAGATAGCGCGATAAGAGCGAGAAGATAGAGAAAGGAAAAGCGAGCGAACGAGAGCGGAAGAGAGAGAGAGAGAGAGTGAGTGAGAGAGGGGGGAGGAGGGAGGAGGGAGGCGAACAACGGAGCTGCAGTTTGGTAGCGAACGCTGTAAATTCTCGATTCTTTAATCTCGGCAAACCTTCATCGCCTCCCAGCGATCCCCCCCCCCCTGCGCGGTCTAGCGAGAGATCGCGGTGCTTCTCGAGGGCGCCTTCCGCACACACATGTGTGCGTACCGTAGAAACGCACCGACACACACGCACGCGTGTACACGGTGCGTCGAGGGAGCCTCCGAGCAGTAAATCTCGCGGACAAACAATCATAATTTTCGAAGAGCTAACAAAAAGCAAGAGACTCTTTAAAGGGAGCCGATGCCAGGCAACATGAAATGCGGCCGCCTCCGCTCCTCCAATTGTTTCGCGGTTTTCTTCCCTCTCCCGGCCGGAGAGCAGTTCGCGTTTCTCTCCGTTCGGCTCGACCCTTTTCTTCCCTTCCTCTCTGTCCTTCGTCCACTCGTCCTTTCCTCCTTTTGCCGATATACGCTGCGACGTATATCAACGTACACACGACGCCCCGGCTGTCCTCTGTCCTCCTCCCCTCCTCTTCCTCCCCCTCTGCATTCCCCGTCTGTCCCTTCCGATTCCTATTCCGCCTTTCTTGATTTCTTCATTTCTTCCCCGTGTCCTCCCTTCGTTACGTCCGCCACTTTCTCGCGATTCTTCCTTCGTGTCGTTTTTGCGACGCCCCCCCTCCCCCCGATTACCCGTGCTCGGCCGATACTCGCGATTACCTCCCGACGTTACCTCCGATCGTTTTCGCGCTCTTTAACCCCTCTCTCTTTACGACTATCCGGCTGATTGTTTCGCACAAAGCTTTCAGCTTCCTTTTTCACCGGCGGACACTTTATCACACCGGTAACAAATTAGGAAGTTCGAGCACACGAGATTAAACGAGTCTACACCAAGCCCGTTCGCTTGCCTTAAACGTGCACTTTTTTCATACTTTCCTCCGAGTCATGCGTCACGCGCGAAATAACCGAAATAATTCGTCGCGGAAGCTCCTGCGGCGCAGAGGAGAATCTCGCGGCGATAATATTATCGAAAGGACGCGCTCGGGATATCGCTCGTTTGATTAGCGTTCGCGCACCGGCGAGATACGAAAAAGCCGATAATCCTGATTAATTGTACGTCGTAAACATCGGCACACGAGGATTACGTGTTTGCAAATCAAATAAATACGTCGGATCCTCTCAGTAGGACAGCGAAACCGAGAGAGCAATCCGTGCGACGCTTTTATCGGGGAGCGGAACGCCGCAATGAGAACGAGATGCTGGAGTGGGCGTAGGAAGAGAAAGAGAAAGAGAGAGAGAGACGGCGGCGACTTCCGTGAGAAAAGAACGAAAACGCGAGAAAGGAAGTGACATAATCACTAGGAAACCTTCCTGTCGAGAGATCGAGGTCGAATTCCGACAGGAAGGTCGACGCTTGCGGACGCAAAACGGATAATTTTCGGATCGTCCGCTGTCCGGCCACGGGCGATTTAACGTCGGCGTGTCGGAGTAAACTGCGTTATCAGGCATACAGTGTTATTATCGCGGACGAGAAAATCGAGGAAGCCTCCCTCCGGCTCTCGGGACAAAAAAGGAGAGGAAGTCGCGAGAGGCTCCGCAAGGTTGAAGCGAGATGGCAGCGTTCGACACGCGCGGGTAGATTCTGCCAAATCGAACGGACGTAAAAAGCCGTTGGCGCGTGATTTCCGGCGGGCGGATTTTTATCGGACTCCGCGAAACCGTCAGAAACGTTTCCACGGGCTAATTTCGTACCCCGAGACGCGCATCGGAACGACGACGCGGAAAGTTCGGGACACGAGAGAGCTGCCAACTTCTTTACGCGCTTCTCGCTCGAGACAACCCATCATCGTTGTGACATAACTTAAGCCCATTATCGTTAACATTGTTCGGACTGAGGAATGTTTACGAGCAGCGCCTATCGAGCGATGGAAATAAACGCAGAAGTGCAGCCGAGCGCCGAGGGGATGTATTGTAAAATTTCTGCGATGGCAGAGACATGGCCGTTTGCTTCAACGCGCAACAAGAACGATACAAAGTAGTGCAAGACGATCGACGTATTATCGAAGTACGCACGTCGTGAGAGGCAAACCGCTGATTTGTACAATTACACTTTGCGTTTAGTTGAAGTCCAAATATCGCAGGGAACACGATTGTTCTTTAGCGCAACGTGCGTGATAATACAGTATGTTAAATTACCGATGAAACGCATCTCTGTTCGTAAACTGTCCCAACGAGCAGCGAAATGTTTAAACAACATCTGCGAGCTGTTTGAGATTTCGAATGCCGAGCAAGATCCATTGGCGTTACCCTCGGTACATCCAATACGACGCGATGCAATCTGATTCAATGCCGGTCGAAATCGAAACCGGCATTGGACGGTTCAAGTTTGCCAGAGGTTTACCCCTCGTCGAATCGATACGAGACATCGACTCAGCACCGATCGATCGCTCGTACGACAGCCGAAAATGGACTTTACCTCTTCCTCTTTAGTTGGTATCACCGTTCCTTCCACGAAGCACTCCCATCGATATCACCATAGTTCTGACATGCCTCGGCGATGAGCCCAACGAACCAGTTACCGATTATCCACACTGATCACCCCGACTATTCATCGACCCCGGTCTGTTCACTCCAACAAGTGACAATTCAATTACAGCTCGCGCACCAAACTCGCAGAGGCCCTGCGATTGAGATCACTCACACCGAACAATCCAGCGGATCGGAGTCTGTGGATTCGTCGCTGATCCTACCGATCCGATCGACCTTCGAAGCTCTCTGAGGTATCTTGGAGGAGTCCTGTCTTGCGAGGTGTGCACACATCAGCTCCTAGAAATCGTCCACCTCCGGATCGAACACCGAGACCACTTCCACCCTCACCGACTGTCACCGGCCACCGAAACGCGAACACTCTCCGTGCCACCTCGAACACTGTCACTCCTCGGGCTCCGAGAAGCGTCCGAATGATCATTCGACATCCTCGATCAAGATCTGGTCTGTCAGTTCGAGGGATTAGTGCTGCTCCCGATCAATCACGACTGATTTCTCCCGTCTCGCTGATTAAGTCTCATGACGCACCACGTCGAACCGAATTTCTGCTCCAATGGCACTCCACAGACTGGGATTCCCGATCTGTCGCGACGTTCGGAGGAAAAGATCGTTCCTCAGGGAGGGGGGTCAGAGGGGCATGAGGGTGACAGTTTCAGCAATGGCACTCCGGTGGACGCGGCTACCACCTAATCGACGTTCCCGAGCGAGTACGCAACACCGAAACGTGAGGAGCTCATTTCCGCGACACTGTCGGAAACTGTCGCTTCGACGGATCCTCGCTGCTCGGGAGGGCGGTCGCGTTAGGAGCCGCGCGGGTTCTCCAACCCGTCGAACTCGGTGTACCCGTGTGTCTTCGATTCCCGAGGCTGTCTAAGCACCCGCGATGAAGAGGGAGGTGTGCGCTCGCGCGCCCGATCGAGAGGGGGAAGAAGTGGGGGTGGTCTTCCGGACCCCGCGTCCGAAGAGGGCGGTTCGCTCCGCGTCTTCCTCAGGCTCGCGCAAATTTCCTCGCCGCGGTTTCCACCCCCGGCGGATGACGACGACGACGACGGACGCCACCTCGCCGCCGATAATGACGCTTTCGTCGCCACGAAGGTATATCGGTTTCCCCGGGTTCTCCACCGAGCCCGGAATGTCAGAGAGGAGAGTGCGCGTGGCTCGGCTGGCGCGAGATGACTGAACCCCTCCGAAGGGTGAGAGACAGAGACGGCGGAGAGGGGGAGCAGGGGTGGGAGAGAGGGGCGGAGGGGAGAAACACGCCGATCTCCCCCTGGCCCCTCTTTCGCCGACAGAGAAAGACCGCGGGTTTCAAGGGTCCCCACCAAACCGCTCGTCGGAGGATGCCCCACCCCGTCGAGAGCAGTGACGCGTCGCATTCTCCCCGCCTTCGCCCGTCGTTCCACCGCCTCCCACCCCCGACGAAGAGCGTCGTTGCCCCTTCCCAGCTGGCCGCCGGCGTCGTCGCGATACTCGCACGACGACGACGGGGGCAAAGAGACGGAGTTCTGCCACCGCCGCGCGACTCCTTCCTCTTCTTCCGCTACGCGATCGCTGTCGCACGCATTCGTCCACCGGCTGGCGAGCCGCGCGTACCGCTCGAGCAGCCCCTACAGCGCGCGCGCGGATAGGCGGAATCGCGGGGGTGGCCGCGCGGAGAACGTTAACCCCCCTCGCCACCGAGGAGGGTAATGGAGTAACTCGAGGTTTTTCAACCATTTTTTTGCTCTTTTCCCTTTAAACCCGGGTAGACGTTGTCGCGAGCAGTAACGTACGCAGCGGCGATTTTTGAAACGGGACTCTCTTCGTGAAATATCACCGGTATGATTAGTTCGTTGACGATGAAAGGAGCAGCCTGAACTCTCTTTTCGCGATGACGCGCTTAAATCGGCTAACTTGGAGGATCGTGTCGTGGAAATATTATTGCTTAATACTCGCTTTCATTGTTTCCGCCTTTTACCGGACAATTTTTCGTTAACACGCGCTGTCATTTTGTCAAGTGGAAGAATACGTGGGGACGAAACGTTGCCGGTTCGCCATTATGTTTCGCGAGTAGGGAGAGTCGGGCAGGATTTCGGAGTGCATTAATTTCCCACCCCTGCGCAGAATCGCCACTTTATCCTGCAGAGGACGGTTCTGCCGACCAATGACGTCACTCGAGTGCCCTCGAAGGACACTCCTACTTTTCACCCCCCTCGAAGGTTTTTGCCGATACTGTACTTGCGATACTTATCGCCGGTGCGTTACGCAGGGGTGGCGATTATTCGGGGTTTCTATGGATGTCGCTAATTGAGAGGAAATGAGGGGACACTATTCTGTCGTGGAAAACTGAACGGGATCAAAGGACTAGGAGGAACAATAAAACGGAAGCCGGAATAGTAAGAAAGTTAGAAGAAAGGGTCTATTTTTACGCGATGGAAGCATTGAGGAGTACGTGAAGATCAAGCTGAAATGTCCGATACGCTTTCTGACAATAAATACGTTTGTAATAAGCTATTTCTGCTCTCACTAATGATTGTTCCAAAGAAACAATGAGAAAGAATCGGGAGATGCGTTGATCTAATTTTTCTTCCCCTTTTTCCTTCCACGTACTTGTTATTCCCGTTATGTTTCTGATACACCGCGACATTAATATCCCTTCCAACTTTTAGATTGACGTTTCCGAGCTATTTACATCGTGCGGGTAGCTTGTAACGGGGATTAAGGATGATTAAAGCTGAAAAGAGTCATAAACGAAAATGGGCCTGATTCACGTGATTATACCAGTCCGCCGTGTGAACGTTCCTCCTGCCTTTTGATTTCTTAACGCGCTCATTTATCACAATTATCGTCCCGTTCGTATTTATATTCCTTATATCTCTTATGTATTTCTCGCGCTGGTGTGTGTTACCGGTCTTACGCGTCTCGTCTATTTATTGAAATTCCGCGAATTATCCTCCTTGCACGGTTCGAAGAAATATACGTTACATTACTTATAAACCAAGTAATGTATATTATATTATTTTAATTCTCGTAACGCACGCACACACACGCTTACTTTTTTGTGTTCGTTATCTAAACTATTATTATTCGAACGCCGTGAAGATGAAGTGAACGATGTGCGGCTTTGATTATTTAAGAAAACACGGAAATTAGTGAAAAAAATTTGTCGCAAACTTATTATAAATATTGCTTTGTATTTTTTACTCGGTAAATAGAAAGGTCGTTGAACTTCTTCTCGGTATTACGCACGCAACGACCGGTCGATGATCAGGTAGACGATTTTCGGAAAAGTAGAATGTGGGAAAAAGTCGCGGAGTCCCGTTAGGTCTCGAAAGGGTTGAAGCGGGACCCCTCGAAAATGGGTCAGAACGCCCGTGCGCCCTCGCGTCGTCCCTCTTTCTCTCTCGGCGTTTTCTTAAAGGGCCGCTTAGCCCACCAATAAAGTATCGTGTATCCAGGTATCGGAAATAGTACGGGACCGCGTGATTTTGCGTAATGTGCCAATGATTTAACACGCGGAACCTTCGTACGACTTCCGAAGGGGTTTCGATTTCCGTGAAAAGGATTTTACCGTTTCGGGGATCGTGTGAGAAAACCATTAGCGTAAAGAAACCCTTAAATAACGGAAGACCGCCCAGGGATGAATGGAAAAGGTCGTTCTTGATTTTTCAGGTATATATTCGGCTGCGCGATGGCTCTATATTGGTTTTACCTCGGTGAACAAAAACATATAGATAAACTATACAGAAATCTAATGTTTACCGAAATATTTTACTAAAGCACGTATAGAAAATTTAATTGAATCTTATCGCGATAACTAACTCACCGATTCCTTTAGTTACTACCTAATATGATTCTATGATTTTTTATCACTATAATAATTTTTTCCAAATTTCACAATCAACGTTTCTTGAAGGAAGGATTCACGACAACGTGAAAAATCCCGCGGACAAGCGAAAGTTGAATGTACTCTCTCGGAGCACTCTCGAAGTTTAAAAATATCGCTCGGTCTCAGCCCTTCCAGTGAAAATATGAATTTTTTATCTCTCCCTCGCGGGCCATATGGCTGATGCACGTCTCCCGAGGGTAGGAAGACAAAAAAGAGAGAGAGAGAGAGGGAGAGAGAAAGAGAGCCGGGGAGTAGGGAGCACGGTGGAAAAAACCGGAGAAACTCCATAAGACGAATATTTTTAGAGTCGAATTTCCAAGGTAGTTTCCGTGGTTCCGCGCGGGCATACAGGAAAGAGGAAAGGGTTACCGTTTCTCTCTTTTTTACCGTGCGCTACCCTATCGTTTCCGCGTCTAAATCCTTCCCATCGCATCTCCCCTACGGCCGCCCTCTTCTTATTTACAGGATTCCCGAATAAACCAGATGTCATCTTGACAAATCTGTCTCTCTGCGCTTCGATTTCCGTCATCTGTTTCTTATATCGCGCGTAAAAAATTCTAGATAATTAAAAATCTAAACGCGGACAATTTAGACGCGATATATCACCAACGCGAAAGGGAGAGAGAGAGAAAGAGAGAGAGAGAGAGAGAGATGTGTCGACGATTAAAATCCAGATCTCGGAGAAATATAGCAACGGAGAATTAATAATCCGCTTTAAGGAGATGCTATAGCCGTTGACGAACTTAATAAGCGTTGATAACGTAGAGGCGATCCTCGAAATGTTACGTTACATAAACATTGACATGATCACACTACTCTAGTTCCTTGTACGTATAGATCTTATGTAAAAAATGTTAGTGCGATATAAATGCGAATAACATGAATGTACGCTACTCTGTTTTACCACATCTAACGAAGGATCCAAGCACGATACATAAAATTTTGTCTGCAAACTTTTCATACTATTGAAGGCTTTTACATGTACAATTGTAAAGATACAGAAATATTCTTTGAAATTTTCCTCATTGAAGCAAAGCACGCTCAACATGTACCAGCTCTTAGGTTGTTGTTTTAAGTAAAAAGTTTACTCTACTGGACAGATCGAGTTTCAGTCTTGACATTTTTCATCGTTTTCGTCATACGTCGGACAATGCTCCAATTGATTTTCGCACGTACCTCCGCTATGCAGAAGCATAATTCTGTGCTGATGAGGCTGCATGAGAGAGAAAAATCAGTATTTTGTCGGCAAAGTTTTCAAGTACAGCATCGCCTTATCGAAGTGCGTTTGATTCTCCGGCGTTCTCGGGAAGAGCCGGTGATGAAAATCGAGAGTGTCGTCGGACGACGCGAAAATATCGCGACGAATCGGACTCCCGTCGCGGTTAAACGTCGCGGATACGCCGGCTCTGGATGCGTTTTGCTGCGCGTGTGTCGTCGGCGTATCTACGCGTTGTACCGCGGGCAATGCATCCAGCAACGCGTTCGTACTCGTCCGACATGGAATGTGGTCCGGTTCCCGAGAGCGGGCGCGAGCAGAGAGCACTGCTATAGTTCCCGTTTTTTATCGCTTCGTAATGCATTAGCCATAATAGCCGCACGCACTTAATGGACTGTAGCCTCGTTACAGTACGCCACGTCGTGGGTGGATACGCCGCTCGTCCGCTTCGGCCGCGTTCGCTTCATTCGTTCGCTCGCTCGTTCGCGTTCTTGTCAGTCTACGCGAGCTCATCGATATCGCGCGTTGCATTTCGCGTGTGCGTCCTTTTCTCAATCTCATTCAACTTATATTCTCTTTTAACGTTCCTTTATTTCGACTTTATTTGCGTTTTTGCGCTTTCGCTTGTTCCTTTTCTCAATTGGAAATTTTTATCACGACTCTTGGACGCGCGATTTTCGGAAAAATATGTACACGTTGTGGGCCGAGAGAAAATGATGTCCTTCATTGGAAAGGAGTAGGACCGAAATGTCTGGACGTTTTGGTCGTTTTTATGATGACACGTTTTCGATAGCGTCTAGCTACCTCGACATATTTGTGATCGAACATCTAAGGGCATATCACGCTCAATTATTTTTCGAAAGGCACAAAAAATATTTTATAGTGGTAGAAACATGTGTGTAAAATTATTATCATTAATATTATAGTAAGACTTATTAGAAAAAATAGTTCTCCTGATTATCTTTCTAGTTAAAGGGTACGTTTGGTGCAGAAACGAATTTTCTATCAGCGTATTTGTTATTGGATACGGTATTATACGATGACTCTTCGA